GGGGGGGGGGGGATTGTGCCCCAGACAGGGAGGCTGGAGAATGAGCTGGATGGTGTGGGGAGGACAGGACTGGATTTGAGGCATGTTGAGTTTGAGTTGCTGGGAGATGCCCAGAAGGGGATGTCACAGGCTGTGGGACATCAGGATTTGGGATGTGGGGGCAAGGTCTCCACAGAAAGCTGGCAGTCACTGGATGACATTTAAAGCCACAGAGAGGATGGGGTCACTGGGGGAGGGAGGGAAGGGAGGAGAAGACACCCAAGGATTGCCCTTGGGGAAGGACATTATCCAAGCAGGTGAGAGGAGGCAAGTGGGTTAACAGTATTCAGCGATGCCCCTTCCAGCACCTGGCCTCTCAGGTGACCAGGCCCTCCCTGGGGGAGCGAGTCATGCCCCTTCACACACGCCTGACATGCCTGCATTTTATGGACCCATGTGGGGAAGCAGATGGGTCTGCCCTAGGGAATGCTCGAAGGATGCATGGGAAGGGACCAGGCTGTGTGAATACAGTGAACGCCACTGGGCTGTGCACTCCAACTGGGTGAGCTGTGCGGTATGTGAACACATCTCCATCAAGCTGTTATTTAAAAACAGGAAAAGAGGATGTTCAGGGAAATCACTTGCCCAAGGTCACATAGCTATTAAGTGGCAAGGTCAGGATCTGAACCCAGGCGATCTGACTCCAGGGACCCCACCCCCTTGAGAGACGCACCTCAGACCCGAGGTCCTTGCAGTTCCCTCTCCCTGCAAATCTACCTACAGGGGACTCCTAGTTGTCATTCAGGTTCCAGTTCAGCCATCACGTCCTCAGAGAGGCCCTCCCTCACTCTCTGTCCCATCACCCAGCTTGATTTACTTTATAACACTCTGTGGAACTATCTTATTTGTTTCTGGTTTATTGCTGTCTACTCATCTCAGGTATAAGCTTCATGAGAACAGCGTGGGCAGCCAGCACCCAGGACAGTGGCTGGCACTGAGTAGGCTCTTTATAAATATCTGTTGGATAAATGCATGAACGAGTTGGTTCTTAAAGAATTAGGGGAATTTTAGTGAAACAAGAAGGGAGTGGGAAGGGCATGCCAGGCAGAGGAGCTGCACAGGCAACAGCTAGGAGGTGGGAGAGTGCAGGACAGATCTCCATCTCTGCGTCCCATCATGCCTGGTGTCAGGCCAAGCCCACAGTAGGCTGCTAGTCAAGGCTTGTTGACTGACTGACTGTCCAGTGGAAGAGCAAGGGGAAGAGACAGCCATCTCACCTCCTATCAGATAGGGGTTTTCGATATAACGCTGAGCTACATAGTTCTCCACGGGAATTTCTTCTTTCTGGTCATCCGAACTTCTTACATCCTAGTTGTAATAACAATAATTATTATTAACATATATTGAGCACATCCTGTGTACTAGGCATTGTGTTAAGCACTCTACTTGGGGTATACCATTTGATCCTTAAATCAACCCTAACAGGGAAATTCTAATGTTACCCCATTTTACAGATGAGAAACTGAAGCACAAAGAGGGGGAGTGACTTGCCCAAGGTGACACAGCTGGTTAGTAATACAGCTGGGAAGTGGACCCACACAGATTGGGTGCAGAACCTGGCATTTAATGCAATAGGGCAGCCACTGGCCACATGTGGCTATGTACATTTAAATTGACTAAAAGTAAGTGAAATCACACTACAGCATGGATGAACCTTGAAGACATAGTGCTAAGTGAAAGAAGTCAGACACAAAGGACAAATATGGTATAATTCCACTTGCTGAGCTACCTCGATGAGTCACATTCATAGAGACAGAAAATAGAACTGTGGCTCCATGGGCTGGGGGGGGGATAGTGAGTGTTTAACAGGCACAGCGTTTCAGCTGGGGGAGATGAAAGAGTTCGGGAGGTGGGTTGTGGTGATGTTTGCACAACAATGAAACTAATGTCAACAAACCGTACACTTAAATATGGTTACAATGGTAAATTTTATGTGTATTTTACCACAATAAAGAGGGGAAAAAATGAAAAATCCAGTCCTTCAGTCACACTAGCCACATTTCAATGGTTCAGTGTCAACACATGGCTAGCGATCACCATATTGGAAAGCACAGGTGTGTACCATTTCCACCACTGTAGAGAGTCCCATTGGTCAGAGCTATCTAGAGCACCACACGGGCACCCAGGGATGTTCCTCTCCCTTCTTTGCCTGCTGATTGTTTGCTGGCCAGCCCAGCGCAGGAAGACAGCGATGCTCTCACATACATGCAGAGCACCTCTGCAGTCTGCGAAGCCCTTGCCCACCCACACTCTTCCCTTCAGAGTAACTTGGTGAGAAAACCAAGGCCCAAAGGCCAATCTCACACACTGGTGAGGTCACGCAACAGACCAGTGGCAGGGAGCACTGAAACTCAGGGCTTCTGGCCCCAAGAGTGGAATTTTTTTTAATACAGTTTTTATTTATTTTATATGTTTTTATTGATTTTAGAGGGAAACGAAGGGAGAGGGGGAGAGAGAGAGAGAGAAACATTGATGTGAGAGAGAATCATGGATCAGTTGCCTCCCTCTTACACGCACTCCCAACCGGGAACCGAACCCACAACCTGGGAATGTGCCCTGACGGGGAATCAAACCGGCAGCCTCTGGCCAGGACCCAAGGGTGGAATTTTGGACACCTACCATCATCCTCCTGCCCCAAGCTATTTCAAGACAGGGGCAGCCAGGCCTTTACTTCCTGGGACCCTGGCCTCCCCCCTCGTATGTATACTCACATGGCTGCCAGAGGGATTGACAACACTCCGGGCCTGCTGGGCCTCCAAGCTGGTGAGCTTCTTCCCAGCAGTGCCCTGACAGTTTCACAGAAGGAATCAGGCCACACGGTGGAGGGAGGAAATTCATTTATTGAGCACCTGCTGTGAACCTACTAACCATGTAGGTGCTGGTTGTATAGGAGTTTGGTCATCCTGCTCCTCTCACCCACCCTGCACCATTATCATCTCTAAGGTTCAGATGGGTTGAGCAATTTTCTCAAGACCATATAGCTTCTGAGTGGTGGAGGCAGGATTTGAATCAGGATTTCTACTGCATTGTGCCTTGGGACATGATGGGGGTAGGGGGAGGAAGGGAGCTACACCACGCTCAGTTTAGGACCTAGTGGAAATTAGCCACACTCCCCCCAGCCAGGGGAGCAGGAGGTCCAGGTAAAGAATGCAGTGTTCTCAGGTTTTAGGCATATTAACTCACTGCAGTCTCAGCAGGTGCTATTCCTATTCCTCATTTACTTGGGCACAGAGAGGTGAAGTAACTTGCCCAAGGCCACACAGCTATTAAGAGGCAAGGTCAGGATTTGAACCCAGGCAATCTGGTTCCAGAGACCTCATACCCATGGGAAGACCCATGGGCAGAACTTCTCTGCCAGCCATCCAGGCTTTCAGGGAGGGAAAGAGCGGGCCCTCGTACCAGTGAGGGCAGAGGGCTTAGGGAGGAAGGGGGAGTGGCAAGCTCACCTTCCTCCAGTCCATAATGTCCTTCAGCCTCCGGAAGAGGAAGATGCCCTTCCCCTGGGACCTGGCTACCTGGGTGGGGGCAGATGCAGAGAGGTCAGCATTCAGCTCTTTGTGGCCACTCATTCACTCCTAAGCCTGGGGCCCCTCCCCACCATTTCTGTCTCCATCTCCCTCCTGGGCCTCTAGCTAACCCCAGAGGAATAGCCCAGCCCAGGCCTGAAGGAGCTGGAACAGAGAAGGTGCTAAGCCTGTCAAGAGGGAGGCAGAAGCAGAGAGGAAAATGAGAGACCAACTTAGCTCACAAAGGAATCAATTGCATGAATAATACACAAGAGCAGACAATTAAAAAACCATTTCTAACAGTCCTGGGAACATATTATCCAATTCTTTTTTTGGAAATCAATTTGCCTTCCTAATTAGGTTTTCCTTCGGCTAATACTGAAATCAGTCTGCCTTCACTGAATGCCAGCATGGATAATTCATAGCTTCACAGAGTCTAGGGGCAGGGAGAATCTTTAATATCATGCAGAGCAGTCGGCACCAAAGGCATTACTTCCTCCTGTGACATCCTCTACTGTGGTCACCTGCCTGGCCTTGCACATCCACAGTGCCAGGGAGCTCACTTCCCCTGCATCGCAACACAGCCCATTTGTTGCAGAATAGCCCTATTAAGAGGTCATCCAAAAGGTATATAGTAGGTGTCTGTTGTGTGCTGGGCATTATGCTATAGCAATAATCCAGACCTCATGAAGTTTTCACAGCCTAACCTGTTTTGAGCTCAATTTTGCCTGCCTGGCTCTGGACTCTAGGACCTCCTAAGAACTAATCTGATTTCTGAGTCCTTTAGTTATCTGTAGCCACTGAGCAGGTCCCCCAAACCCCCCACCAAGTCATTTTTTCCTCCAGCAAACTCTCATTTCTCTCTCTTCTCCTCTGAGCATGGCCCAGTTGGCCACTGTAGGGCTCCCTGTACAATGTGGGGCAGGCAGAGTTGTCAGGCATGGCTGTACCGATTGTCCACCGCATGAAGGGCTCCCAGTCATCGGGGCAGTGGGAGCTGAAACCCTGCCTTGCTCTGCCTGCTGTGCTGTGTACCCTGATTCAGGGTTGTGTGTGCCCAGAAGACGGGGTGTCCAAAAATCTGTGGAGCACTATGGTGGCTCAGGGGCAGCAACATACACAGTTGTTTTGGAAAGCAACTAATAATCAGTGTGCATCAAGGGCTCCAAAGAGTTCACAGCCACACAAAAGATTTAAGTTCATATCACAAAAGAGGATTCCCCACTGTAAACAATGAAAAGGCATTCAGCTGCAGCAGCCTTCAGAAAAACGCAAATGAAAACTGCAATAAGATACCACTACACGCTCCCTGAGAGTGACTGAAACGGAAGGCAGACAGTATCAAGTGTTGAGGAGGAGACGGAGAAACTGGAATTCTCACATGTGCTGATGGAGAACACATAGTTTGGAAACTCTTTGGCAGCATCCACTAAAGCTGAACATAGGCACCCCCATGACCCAGCAATTCCTCTCCTAGGTGCCTATGCATGCACATGAGCACCCACAGACACGTATAGGAACATCCACAGCAGCACAATTCATAATAGCTCCACCCTCAAAACTCCAGAATGGACAAATATTCACCTGATAGAATAGTAAACAACAATGATAAATAATAATTTCTAATTAACCACATCAGTATGGATGAATATCATGAACATGATGTTGAGGGAGAGAAACCAGACACAATGTAGCCATACTGCATGATTCCAATTATATAAAGTACAAAAGCAGGCAAACATATCTATGCTCTGAGTAACTTGGGGGATAGTGAGAGAAAGAAATGCTTGGCTTCTTTCCTTCTTTCTTCAAATACTACTGCAGCAGCCATCTAACACCGATGAGGTGACAAGTCTAATGACACAAAACCAACACACTGAGGATGCAGAATGAACAAAGAGAAGGAACCTGGGCTTTTAATGGCATTGTTGAGTATACCCCCAAACCTGGAACTTCCTAGTTTGGCTTTATTGTTATCTGAGATAATGAAATGACTTTATTGTTTAAAGCATTATTAGTAACTAACCTCCTAAGGGAATAATCCTAAAGAGTGGAAAATAAACTTGCTACACAGTGATTTATTAAGGTAGTTAAGACTGGAAAGCACCTAATATTTTGCTCAGCAGACTGCTGTTTCCAAAAACAATCAATGTTTACAGCCCTCTGTAGTTTTCCAGAGCCTTGCTACCCCAACCCTCTGTCAAGAGGTAAAGTCAATGCCCCCTCCCCTTGAAACTGTCTCAACTAATTGTATATGGCAGAAGCAACATTATGCCAGCAGCTAATACTATGTGGATTTCAATACTGGGTCATAAAAGGCAATATGGCATCCACACAGCTTTCTCTTTGGGGATGGTCACCTGGGAACACAGCCACCATGCTGTGAGGAAGCTCAGGTCGCATGGAGAGGCCCACATGGAGGGCAACTGAGTCTTCCAGGCCTCACGCCTGGTTGAGCTCCCAGCCAACAGCCAGCACCACCTTGCTGTCTCTCAAAGAAGCTGCCCCCAGTAAGTGCTGGGGCAGCCATGAGCTTTCGCTGTCAAGCGCTACCCAAACTAGAGGCTCATGAGCTATATAAGACATGATGGTTGTTTCAAGTCACTGAGTTTGGGGCTGTAGCAATAGAACCAGGACACTAACTTTAGGAAAATGGTTCATAACAATGGTCATATCAGCAGCTAATACTTCTCAGATGTTTCCTATGTGCCAGGCACAAGAATTTACACACATTACCTCATTAAAGCTTTAAAGGAAAACCTATATGTAGCATTATATTATCCCCATTTTGCAGCCAAGGAAACCAAGGAGCAGAGAGGTCACACACTCTCTTCAAGCTACTCAGCTGGTAAGTGACAAATACAGGATAGTCAAGCCTGTACTTCACAAGGCTGGTGCTCAGGCACCTCCTGCAAAGGGCCAGGGAGCGCACAAAATCAGAAATAAACATGGTGCAACTTCTGGGTATAGTGATCTTAATTTGGGAGGAAAATATTTTTATTAAAAAATGTTATTGATTGGAAAGCAATATATGGATTATTAGAATGAACCGTATTTTGATTTTGTACCACCTGTGGCCACTCACAGCCCTCCACTCCCTGCCACTCCCTGCTTAGCCCCTAGGGGCCATTCATCATGTGACGTTCATTGTGTGGCATTTATCTGGTGTTGCAGATGTGGCTGGTGGTCTCCCCAACAACCATTCCCTTTTTTCCCTGCCAACAGAGCCCCATTTGGATCACCTCCTCCTGGTGGCCCTTCCCTCTAGGGAGGTCTGAGCCCTCACGGTGGTCCCATGCCCCTGCCATTGGTTCAAACATGGGCCAGCAGGATGCCAGAGGCAGTCTGTGCAGGAACTTCTGGAAAGTTTGTGCCTTCTTCAAAAGGGACAGGAGACTAGGGTGTTCCTTTGTTACTGTAGCAGGTGAAGGTGTGAGGAAGAGAAGCTAGAGCTGAGGCAGCCATGTTGTGACTGAGAGGAGCAGCCAGCCCATTGGGTTGGGCTGATGATGATGTTGAGATGCCCAATAAACCATCCCTGGAGCTCACCTATCATCATTAAAGGAAATTCCCTGGGGCCTGTAAATCAGAACAAGAAAATAATTTTCAGCTTTATTTTCATTAACCCCTAATCAGATTTTTGCATTTCCTTTTATCATGAGTGCAGGCAATAAATCATAGTAGTATTGGCATGCCTGTGACTGCTCTCAAAAGAAGTCACAGTTGTGTTATAATTGTTGCAGATATTTCAGATATCGTTTATGCTCATGATGACTTTGAAATTATGGTAACTACTGGGCCTGCTGTTAGACTCTCTTTAATAGTTCATGAAAAGCACATACATTACTACAGCATAAAGATTATTTTAATAGTTTGTGTGGTGGCCATCAGAATGTAGTCATAGGCCTCTAACTGCAGGAGGGTGACTGACCAAGAGCCCAAGAGCCCAAGAGCCCGGGCTGCTGCTGCTCAAATCCACCCGGGGCTTGCCAGGCCTCACTCAGGTCCCAGCCAACAGCTGAGGGCTGTAGGGTCATGAAGGCTGGCCCACGCCTGGGAGACAGAGGACTCCTCTGATAGCAGCGTGGGCCTGTGGCCTCCCCTTGGCCTTGCTGAACTTTCCTTAGGCTGCTGGCAGGCTAGGAGCTTCCCCCAGCCTTCCTTCCCTCACTGGGGCCTGGGAGCTCTCTCGGCCTCTCTGGCCCCCTCCCCTGTTCTCTCACAAGCAAACTCTGGCATGTTGAGTCCTTCCCATCTGTTTCTCAGAGGGCCCAGGCTAACAGTTTGATAACTGTTTTCAATATAGTTTTATTTTATAATCAAATATCCTTTATTGTATGCTTTCAGAAACACTATCCTGTGCTGGGGCCCACACACGCTACCAGATACTAGAGGCCACAGCATGAGAACAGTTCAGAGCCCCGCCCCCTTATTTGGGCTCCTATTAGTTGGGTCCTGGGTTATTTGCTGCCCAAAGCGTCCCAACTCCTAGGAGGTATTAATGAAAAAGTGTGAGAAGGTGTGGTTAGGGTCGACNGGAGGTATTAATGAAAAAGTGTGAGAAGGTGTGGTTAGGGTTGTAAAATAGAATGTAAAAATGTGGTTCTTTCAGTCCTGCAGTTTGAAAAGAGGCCCCCAAAGCTGAGAACGACCCAGGTTGCCCAGACTCACAGCCCTGAGTGAGGTGTTAACCAGCTCTGTAGACACAGAGAGACTGACAGGCCTGGGCCCTGAGAGCCCAGCACCTGCCTGCCAGTCACACCAGGGAGGCTGGAGAAGCAAGCGTGGTCCCCACCATCTGGGTCTTGCCCACCTTCCTGCTAATCCAGAGGGCCTGAGCTGGTGGGAGGGGAGAATGCTTAGATGGAAAGAGTCTGGATGTGTGCACTTTAACTCTAGACTGGACTTTTAAATTCTAAACCCCAGGCTTTATCCTTATATTCCCTGAGAGTGAAAGCCAAGGTCTGTCCCACCCAAGTCTACTGAGCCAGACACGATGGGAGTGAGGTGCTTTAATAAGCTCTCCAGAAACTTCCTATTCCCTCACAAGTTTGAGAATTACTTCTGTACAGTCTCAAGGCTCAAAGTGTTGCTCAGGGACCAGCAGCAACGGCACACTCACTAATCCCATTTTCCAGGTGAAGAAATGGACTGAGAGGGGTTGAGTGACTGCTCCGGGTCATATAGTTCCTAAGTGGCAGATACAGCATTAGAACTCAGGCTAGTCTGACTAGAAGCACCCACTCTCTACACCCTACACCCGAGACAGTACTCAGGAGGAAGAGCAAGTGTGCGCGTGGGTGCACACACACACCCACACACTCACAGGGCCGCCAAGATTCCTCCTCTTAATTACAGCTGTGACGGCCGTGGGCTGGGAAAGGAATCAACTTAATATGCGATGGCTTGTTTCCAATTAGCACAACCTATCATTTGTCTGAGAGGATGGTGCCGCCGGGAGCTGGAGCCCGCAGGTGGGCTGCAGTGCTCGCTGCCTCAGCCTCAGCCCTCCAGCTGCAGCTGCGGGACCTCCACCCTGCCTCCTGGGGAGGGACGCCAGCCTTCCAGCGGACCTTGCCAGGAGAGGATGGGGGGGCGGGCTGGGTAAATCCTGGCTCAGTCTTCACTCACTAAGTACTTGTGAAAGGCTTGAATAGGTCTTAGGCTCCTCATCTTTACAACAGGGCTGGTAGGACCTCCTTCCAAGAACCATGAGGCCCGGGCAGTGCAAGCACAGCACTTCTCATACCTGCCATGGTTTTCCTTTATGGCAGGAAGAGAGGCAGGGATCTGAGCTCCAACAAGGCCTGGATTCCCTGCCCTGGTGCCCCGAGGATCACTTGTTCATCTACCAAACACTTACTGAGCACCTACTGTGTACTAGTATTCATAGCTGCTGGGTCCACATGCTACAGAGAGGAGGAGATAAAGTTGGCCCTTCAGGGAAGCAGGCCATGCATCTAAAGCTGAATTACCAGGCAGGATCCTGTCCAGGGATGCACCCTGAAGGATCCCCGCGCTGGTGCCTGGGACACCCCTCCCCTCAGTCCCTGGCATCTGGCACTCACAGGCTTCATGATCCAGGTGATTCCTGGGTTTTTTCGAAACTCTTCCACAAACAGGTGGTACTCGCATGGCATCTCAAAGGTTTTGGGGAAGAAGTCGCACTTGGCTGCCTCCAGCTTTCCTGCCTCGCGCTCCAGCTGTTTCCGGAACCGCTTCAGGTTCTTCACCATGTAGTTCTTGCGGGTGAGCTGAGTGGCAGGACGGACAGATGGGCAGGCCATTAGTGCTCAGGCCACTGCCCCACTCCACTTCCCAACCTACCCATCCCAACTGCCCCCATAGCTTCCATTCTCTGGCCCACAAAATAACAGTAACTCTAAGAGTAACTTTAGCCTGCTATTCTGTAATTATCCCCACTTTACAGGTGAGGAAACAGGCTCAGAAAGGCTGTCAGTTGCCCAGAGCTATGAAGCTAACAGGCAGCACAGCAAGGCTTTGACCCAGATCTGCCTGACTCCAAAGTTCATGTTTCTAACCACTAAACTATGCTAACCTTTTAAAATTTCCCACCACTGGCTTCTCCAGTCCCATCTTTGTGGCCTGGTTCCTCCTGGACCTTCTTCCTGTCTCTAGACTCCAAACTGCTCAACTGGTCTCTCCCCTGAGATCACCATAAGCGTTCAAGCATCCTGCTCCTTTGGCCCTTGTGACCCAAGCCAACTTGACCTTCACATCTCTAGTGCTGAAACACCAAGCAGCCCATGACCTCAAACCCCATCCCAAGACAGCCTGTTCCTCAGGTCTTAGAACCTTACTCCCTCTCACTAGTTAGCTCATCATATATCTCGAGCATATATTCCCCACCTGGCATGCACCCCAAAGTCCCTTACACTTTTCATTCTGGTCTCATAACCCCAAACTAGTTCCTGCTCATTGCTACACCAGTGACAGGAGCTGACTGGCTTGGCCCCCTCAGCCTACCCAGCGCACCTCGTAGTGGTTTCGGAAGTGACTGATCCGCACATGTTCATCCATGTAGGTGTGGTCAAAGTTCTCCCGGAGCCAGCTGACATCACACCAGTAGAAATCCCACTCTCCTTCGCTGGGGGTGGGGTGAGACAAAGGTCATGACCAGAGGACCTCAGCACTGCTGGGGGCCTGGGGCTCAGGGAAGTACAGCTGAGGGGACAGCAGCAATATGTGTATTAGGAGTCTCAAGGTGGCGGCTGTGGGCTGCTATTGACCACAACCTGCTTTGTTAGGCTAGAATGAAAACTAGAGAAACATTCCTAGTTTGTTGGCTGGTGGCTTCCAGTGAGTGCAGATGCTACTTCCTGGCACATATTGGCTGGACTGAGGAGTAGCCACTACATCAGACAGGGCACACCCTTCAGATCACAGCCCCACCGCTCCCTATGGCCTATGACAACCAGCCAACCTCACCTGATCATGTTACCTGCTTGGGTCTTGGAAGCATCCTGGGGCTGCCACCCCCCCATCCCACATTACCAACTAGTGGAATTAGGTAACATTTGCAAGCCCTTGGGAGTTCAAAAGGTCCTCCTCTTACTGAATCCTCAGAGCAGCAGCCCTGGAAGTGACTAGGATCATACCGGGAGCCCTAAGACAAGGATGGGCTTGCTCGCCCAGGACACGGCAACATCAGGATTTACACCCAGGCCTGCCTGACTCCAAATTCCAACCTCTTTGTTCACTGCCATGGCAGGGAGAGGGGGAGAAGCCAGGCTAAGCTATGAAATCTGATACCAGAGAGGGGGTGGAGGTACTTGAACAAGATGTGAAATAACACCACCATGATTACTTCTACTTTTTTTAAGTAAAAAATTAGATGTAACTGAAGCCCCATGTATATTCCTGCCTGATTCTATCTTGTTTCCTGTCGCAAAGGAAGCTATTAGCCTGAATCTGGTATGTATAATTTCTACGAGTGTTTTCACAGCTTTACTATGTACATATGTGTGTATTCATCTATAGCACATGACACTGTTTGGCATGTTTTTAAACTTTCTAATAACTAATACTTATTGCTTCCCATGTGCAGGACACTGTTAAAAATACTTTACAAATATCAACTCATTGGCTCTCATAGCAATCCTAAGTGTTAGGCTCTATTATTAAGCCTATTTTATAGATGAGGAAACTGAAGCACAAAGATGTGAAGGAACTCACCCAAGTTTATACAACCAGTAAGTTGCAGAGCAGGTTTTGAACTCAGACCATCAGGCTTCTGAGTTCAAGCTCTGTGGTTAGAACCAATCCTGACTATTTCTTTTCATAACTTGCTTTTCCACCAACTTTGTTTTCGATGAATGAATAAATAATAGATGAATGAATAAATAATGCATTATGCATTCATTGATTCAACACATATGTGTTGAGGTTATCTTGGTGTCAGAGACAATGTTGGGTGCATTGTTAGTGCAGGGATAGAGGAGGAACCAAAACTCCTGGCCAGGTGGTCCATATAATACTACAGTGAAGATTAACAATAAACAAGGAAACAAAATAATAACTCTACAATGAGGAATTGTGAAATGTGCCAAGAGTAATTCAGTAGGAGGCTAGGAGGCAGGGTAGCTGAGGGACCTATATTGGGTAGAGGCCACCATATGGAAGAGATAATTTGACTGAGGTCTGAAGGGTAAGGAGGAGGGAAGTGCAGGACATAAGGCTCTGAGGTGGGAAAGGGAACGTTTAAGGATTTGAAGAAAGGTCAGAGTGGAGGGAGCAAGGTCAGGCATGATGCTGAAGAGTGGGGTAGGGCCCAATTAAGCCGGGTTTTGTAGACCATTGTGCAGATTTGGGGTTCTTTTCTAATCCTGGAAGTTCATTCATTTGTATACCATCTTCATGATCATCACAATCAAATTGCTCCTAAATCACCCAGGAAGACATTAAACTGCTCAACAAGGGCTGCAGGGATTCGGGTTCCTTCTACCTTCCCATTCTGCCACCCTTAACATGTTCTCCTCATGCTCATCACCTAAGGGTCACAAGATGGTCACTGCAGTTCTAGGTGTCACAACAGCTTTCTTGGTGGGAAGCAAGGGAAGGGACAGCTCTGGCCACATCTGTTCCAAACTCTGACCTGACAGGCTAATGACCTGAGCTGAGACCTCATTCTATCTGGAGATACCAGACCTTAGGTTATGTCAAAAAGGGTGAGGCCTCACATTCATAGAGCTGTGTGTGGTGTAATGGCCCTGGCCTCTAGCCCTTCCTGGTTTGAGGACCCTTGAGGCAATTTTGGATCAGTCATGAAGCAACCTGCTTCATGGACTCCCACACCATCAGCACGAGACAAACCCTCAGACCAAGGAGCAAGGCAGAGGAGGGGCAGTGGATAGCCTGAGATCACAGAGAAAGGCAGGAGAGAGCCCCTTCCTATATACCACCTCCATGAGCCAGTCACCTCACTCTCCTCTAATTCATCCCCCAACCCCTCCCCCATCCTCCATTACACCAGGCAGTGGGAATCATGGATTCATCCATTGGCTCATTTGTTCCTTCATTCACTAAGAGGCTGCCAGAATAGGGTACAGATGAACCTGGGACTCTGCAGACAGACTAGGTACAAATCTTAGCACAAGTGCTTACAGGCAGAGTGACCTCAAACATGACATTTTTTACTTATTTGTGTCCAGTTTTCTCATCAGTAAAATGGGGATAACAATAGCACCTATCCAGGTTTGCTGAATAATTCAAAGGAGTTGTGCATCTAAAGTTGCATAACAATAGCTAGCAGGCTTAACTATTGTTATGCAATAAATATTTATTGAGCACCATGACAGGGCAGATGGTTGCCCCCACCCTTCATATCCACCCTCCCCCTTTTTTATAGTTGTAGAAATCCCAACATTTACCTATCTACATTTTCCAGATTCCCTTGCAGCTAGGTGTGGCCACATGGCTAAGTTTCAGCCAGTGAAGGAACTTCTGGGTGTGTCTTCAAGGGCAGGGCATGCCTTTTCTTGCCTCATTCCTACCTACTGCTCTTGGAATGTGGATGTAAGGCTGGAGCTCCACCTCAGACCATGGAAGACAAGGGCCTCATTCAAGGGATAGCGGAGTGAAAAGACAGAAGCATATGGATCCCACATTTACATACCATCTCTGAACACACTACATCTGGACTTCAGTGGGAGAGGTAAGTCAAATTCTAGAGTGTAAAAGCCTCTTTTACTTTGGTTCTCTGTAATACACATCCAAACCCTAACCCTAGTAATTAACATTAGCACCTACTACATGCCAGGCACTATAAGCTCAGTCATCTCAGTATCCTCAGGGCTCAGCATAGAAGAAGAAATGTAGGCTTCGGGGTCAAGTAACTTGTTCAAGGTCACAGAAGTAGCGAGTGGCCAGGGAAGAGCAGCCCTTGACCTGGACCTTCCATCACTGGAGGATTCAAGCCAGCAGGTCTGTGATGGCTTCACTCCTTGTATTTACAGAGAGCAAAAGGACACTGCTAGAACATGGCAGAGATAAGCCTGGGACTCTGCTTGGTTGTGGAATAACTGAGAGGGTTTCAATCTCACTTATGTGCTGTGTGACCTTAAGCAACTGGTTTAATACCTCTGAACATAATCAGATCTTGCTGGATGCTTATAAGTCTTAAATAAGACAGAGGTGGCATCAATAATGTGCCTGACACATTGTGAGTGCTAAATAAATGTTCGCCCCCGTCATAGCCAAATTAGAATGAGTCCCAGTAGTCACCCAGAGGAACTGGGAGAAAAACAAAGGGGGCCAAGGACCTGCGAGACAAAGGGAAGGAGGGATGAGGTTGAGGAGAGGGGTCTTACTCCTTTACTTCCACCCATCCTGGCCTATGGCGAAGGACATCCATAAGAGTATTTATAAGAGTGGTCTTGAACCGGATTGATGCTCTCTGCTCTCTGTAAGACAAGGCAAAAGAACACTTGCTGAGGATCAACTATTTCTCTAAGATGGCCCAGGGATAGGAAAAAAAGGGGAAGGAAGAAAGGTCACGTTGCATACCTGGAAATACCAAAAAGTAGAATTCCTGAATTTCAGAATTTAGCATATAACACTTTAAATAATCAAATTGAGAATTATAGAAGCTCTGAATCATTGAAAAATAATAGCAATCATCTCCTTCAGTGCCTACTCTGTGGCATGCCTAATCCTTATATTTAATGATAAGTATTTGCAAATCTCCTTTTCTGGCACTCATCCGGGAAGATGGAACAGATGTGCTTTCCCCTATTCCTTCTATAAGTACAACTAAAACCCCAGGACATTATATAAAAAAGCAAACAAAAGAAGACTCTATAAGATGGATAGAAGAAGGCAGACCAGCTAGGGACTTTAGGGCCCAAGGAGCAGTGGAGTGGTGAATTTTCTGCGTGTGTTTTATTTTGTTTTGTTTTGCCTCCTGGATCCCAGATGTAAATACAAAATGTTTAAACTCAGACAAATACCAAGTGTTCATAAGAATGTGGAGAAATGGTAATTATCCTACACTGCTAATGGGAGTGTAAATTGGATGAACCTTTGGAGAGCAATTTGGCATATTAAAATCATCAGATACTATTTTATACACATTAGACTGGCAAAAATCTCAACATCCAAGTTTTGGCAACAATGTGCTAAAATGGAAATTCCTCCCCTGCTGGTAGAAGGCACTTTGGAGAACCACAAGGCAGTATTTAGTGCAGCTAAATATGCACATACTCTGTACCCAGCAATTCCATTCTAGCTCTATACCTTAGATGGATACCCTACATATGTACTAGGCAATGTATGTGCAAGGCTGTTCATTAGTCATTGTTAACACTGTGTATGGAACTTACGTGCAGCACACGCTGTTGGTGGTCCGCCCTTATGCTTTGGGCATTCACCATTCCTGTGCATGCCAAGTAGAGGGCTTTCCAGGACCAGCACCTGTAGCTCTTTGCCAAAGGGCTTTTCCTGGCCCTCAGAGTCTGCTCAGCTAATGCCTAGAGCAGAACTGAAGTACCAGGGAGTTAACTGCCCTCCCCCAACAGCATATAACCAATGGTGACTGGAGTTGATGGATAAGCTCTCTCATCACTCATTTGGGTTAAGTCTGTGATGTGTTCTATGCTGTCTCCTAGGAATCACCAGTGGGGTTGAGCCCCACTTGCCCAAAGCCATGACCTGTCAATAATGTACCTTTTATCGGTTTCCTTCCTTTAGCTGTCAGTGCTTACTGAGCTCACCTTCCCAATAAACGACTGTTCTCACATCCTTGTCTCAGGGTTGGCTTCTGGAGGAAACTTAGACACAACCTTAATGTCTTTTAACAGGAAGGTACGTAAATAACTTGTGGTATACAATGGAACATATGGAGTAGTTAAATGTATCAGACCTACATGCACAAACACGATAAATACTGAAAATATGATTTCGCGTGACAAAAGCAGGGTGTGTAATGATCACAGTATAATGCCATTTATGTAACATATTCCTAGCCACTCATGCAGCTAGGGGTGCCCATGTCACACAGTTCTGGTCAATAAGCTAAACACGTAAGGCTGCTAAGGCCGGTGGGTTCCTGGAAAGCTTTGTGGGGTTTTTGTGTGTTTGTTTTGTGTGTGTGTGTGTGTGTGTGTGTGTGTGTGTGTGTGTGTGTGAGTGAGTGTGTGTGAGGGGGGGGGATTGTATCTTCCCTCCCCACTTCTTCCCATCTTGATCATGACATGAAGGCTGGAGCTGTAGCAGCCACTTGGTGTCCAGAAGGAAAAGATCAAGACAATCACAGAGACACTAGCTCTGACCTTGTTGAACCACTGCACCAGCCCTCCAGATATTTTGTTACGTGAAAAAAATAAATACAATATTTTAAAGATGCTATTAGTTGGGTTTCCTGTTACTTGTAGCTAAATGCATTTCTAATTGATATCTATCCTGATAAAATATGTAGGTGGATCCTGTTAACTACAGTGCTCTTTGTTTTGTTGGGGTAGGAGTGGGTGTATAAATTTAGGGCCAGGATCTGGAACAGAGCTGAATTGCTCTGCATAAGAGTGAGAGACTTGAAACTGATAGGATAGAGTCAGTATGGAGAGAAAGAAGGCAAAGATGGGTGCTGCAAGAGAGAAGACCACACAGTGGTGGTATAGCCAGCAGGGGATTGAGAGAGAACAGAAATATCTAATGAAATAAAGAATAGAAATGTCTAAAATATTTTCCATGGTGCATACAAAGTAAACTACCTCTTCTAACTCCCAACAAAAATCTTCAGCAAAGTCTACAGTGCTCACTCCTGCTTTCTGCAAATGGATTCTCTTTAGGAAGTCCAAAAAGGTGCTGAGCTCGGCACCCAGGTTATCAATGCAGAGTGAAGCAGTGGGTCAGGGCAGAGCTGACGTTTGAGTTATCAGGTCAACTTCACATGGTTGTCAAAGGAGGAGGGAGGGCATAGTTAGATACAACATGGGCCCTGGAATCCAACAAACTGCCACTAACAAATCCTATGGTCTTGAGCATGTTACATACCCTCTCTGAGCTTCAGTTTCCCCATCTGTAAAGTGGACATGATAGTAGTATTTACTTCAAAGGATTGTGGTAAGGATTCAATGAGATAATTCAGGTAAAGTGACTAGCCTGGAGCCTGCCTCATGGTAAATGCTCAATAACTATTTATTATTATTATTATTATTATTGAAGTTAAGAAGGAGGAGGGGGATGGATGAAGGGAAGGAAGGAAGGAAGGAAAAGAAAGGGAAGGGAAGGGAAGGGAAGGGAAGGGAAGGGAAGGGAAGGAGGGAGCTATTTCTATGTTTATTAGATTGGGTAGGACCACTCACCGTTCTTTTCCCTTTGACAACCCATAGCCCTTGTAGTTTTGATTCTGCAATGAGAAAAGGAAAGTGATGCAACTAGTTTTGCATATCCAACTTCCCATCCCAGCTCCACTTGCTGCAAATATTAACATGCTCAAACCATCAGACTCAACACTGTCCTGACAAGGTCCAGCCTGGCCAAGTTCTCATTGGTTACCATATTCCCAGCAACTTGGTCCTTGGAATGAATCCCCAAGTACGCAAGGCCCACCTCACTGTAGATTTGCTCCACAGGCATGACCAGTAGAGTGAATACCTAGTTTTCAATGCTCCAAAGGTCTAATCCTGAACTTCAATTTTGAGAGCTGAGCTCAGCAATCTCTGTGAGAAGACCTTCTACTCCAACCTTGAATGTTAGATAAGATCCATGATTCAGGAGGGGACTGGGTCAAAGTTAATTTCTTTCACCCAAAATGGACCTTTCAAATCCTCAAAGGGTGGTGGGTATTATTCTACTTCTGCCATGTCCCAAACAGCTTGGCCCTCAGCCCTAGTATGACTGGTGGAAGGTATGAGAAAAGAAATAAGAATTGGTCTTGTGCAGGATGACCTCTGCAGCTTGGACAGACTTGCCATCTGCATTAGTTTTCTATTACTGCATGACAAATAATCACACATTTAATGGCTTAAAACAGTGCAAATTTATATCTCACAGTTTCCACGGGCCAGGAATCTGGGTATGGCTTAGCTCAGGTCTCACAAAACTACAATGAAGGTGATGGTCTGGGTTATGGTTCTCATGCACGGCTTGTCGTCCTCTTCCAAGATCATTCAGACCACTTGGCAGAATTCAGTTTCTTGGGGTTGTGGGTCTGAGGTCCCTGTTTACTTGCTAGCACTCTCGAAGCTCCTAGAGAGTGCTTGTCCCCATAAGCAGTTCATAGCAGGAATGCCTGCTTGCTTCCAGGCCAGGAGGAGCATGTCCTCTGACTTCCAACCCTTGCCTCTACAATTTAGCCACACTAGAGTCTTATATAACCTATCATAATTATGATAGTAACTATTCCATCAAATTCACAGGCTCCATCCACACTTAAGGGGAAGAAATTATACAAGGTGTGTACACTGGGGGTAGGAATCTTGGGGCCATCTAGAATTGTGCCTACCACACCATTCTACCTCCCAAAGAGCTGTTGGAGGGGGTATAGGATACTGCTCTACAAAACTGGCAGAAGCAAGCTCACCCACAGAAGTGAAACCTTAGCTCATTTGTCCACTCAAGCCCCTCCAACTCCCCCAGAACTAGTCAAGTGTCCTAACCTTTTTTAAATTATATCCTTTATACTCTCTCATGTTTTCAATTCCATTTTCTATGTTTACCTAGTTGCTCCAGTCTTTGGTTGAAAAACTCCCCCCCCCTCACTGAGTTGTATTGGCACTTCTGTCAAAAATTCAATTGACTCTGTATATGTGGGTCAATCTGTAGTCTCTATTTTGTTCTGTTTACTTATTTGTCTATCCTTATGTCACTACCACACTGTCTTAATTACTGTAGCTTTCTAGTAAATCTGAAATCAGGTAGCATGCCCTCCAACATTTTTTTCAAGATTGTCTGCAATTTGGGGTCCTTCAACATAAATTTTAGAATCAGCTTGCTGATTTCTAAAAAAAATTTAAAAATAGCATGTTGGGATTTTGATTGGAATTGTATTAAATCCAAAGATCGCTTTGGGATGACATCATAAAGTATTAGATCTTCCAATCCATAGGTATGGTCAGTCTCTCCATTAATTTGTCTTTAATTTCTTTCCACAGTGTTTTCTAGTTTTCAGTGAACGTCTTGAACTTCATTAATCTTTTCGCAGTGATTTGATTTTGTGATGCTATTGTAAATAGCATTTTTTAAATTTCATTTTTTAATTGATGACAGTATTACTGAAGTAGGCAGACTAATGCTCCCAAAAAGGATGTCCATGTCCTAATCCCCAGAACCTGTAAACATGTTACATTATATGGCAAAGGGAAAGTAAGGTTGCAGATGGAATGAAGGCTGCTAACCAACTGACTTTAAAGTATTGATTACTCCGGGTTACTTGGGGTTACCTGGGTAGGTCCAATGTAATCACGCGTTTTCAGTTGTGCGAGGGAATTAAGGAAAGGCGTTGCCATTCATGAGAGGCGCGACGCGGGGTGAGAAGCGGCAGGCTGGAGTGGGAAGAGCTGGGTTCCGGAGGACCCCATTTCCTTGCTTTGGGTCTCACTTTTCGCACTCCTAAAATGGGGGCGAGGGCCTGGGCAGGCTGCTTCACCTCTGCGGCCCTACCGCCAGCGCTGAGCGCCACTTGAGAAAGACACTGATTAGCGTTTTCTGGCTGGATGATGAAAGGATGGATGGGCGGGCGACCGGGAGACGGACGAACAGATCTCTAAGCTCGTGCAGGTCAGGAAACCCGACGCTCCGAGCTCCCCCG